TATATCTGAAAGAAACAAGTAGTTTTCACTTATAATGCCAATTAACTTTTACATGTGAAGAAAAATTCGGTTGGAAGAGATTCTTGAATAGGTCTCACTAGAGGATTGCCTTTAAGGCGGGGGATCTAGGATTATGTGAAGCCTTCATTTGTGCACCATCCTGTAACTTTGCTCCTTCCATGTTGAGATTTAGTTTGTACCACCGTGAAAGAAAACCTTAGAACTAGTAGATGTCTTTTACGAAAAAAAGCACCGACGTCTTAAACAAGATCAGTGACACAATGCAAGTATACTCACCTCTACTTAATTTTGCGATCCTAATGAAACATCGCATAAGTTGCTTGGAAGAACTTAATGAATTACCTTATCACGAATCCCCAAATCGCAGGAAAGTGAACCGATAATTTACTCAGACAGCTTAACAGTCCCCTTCAATGACCGTCCGATCTGCATATAAGGCATAACAAGGAAAAGTGGGAACCCTCTTATGCCTTCATCTCCTGTCCTACTTTATTTATCAGCCTTTCCTTTTTCGAAAGCTGAGTTGTTTTAGTAAGTGATTAAATTAAAATTAATGGTTACTGTCTCCTTAAATGGCTGTTCGAACAGAAGAGACGAAAGCTAAGCTTGGATATAACGAGGTCACATAGGGGTTGTCATAGGATTTATTAGTTTGACACCATGTTCAAAGTTGATATCGTTCAATCTCCGATGAGGCCAAATTACCAGTGCCTTCCACACGTCTTTAATCTTTAATTGAGGGTCAACTGATGTTAGGAGTTCATCTGTCCATGATTTATACGAAAAAAGGAGTAATTGTTAGTCACTTTAAGTGAGTGCAATAAAATAGTTTTTAATTGATCCCATATAACGAAGTAGCTTGTAAGGTTCCAAAAATTTAAGGTAATCCAAGATTTTATCTATATTATGCCATAATAATTACATTTTATTATAAACTAACAATATTAGCTCGTGAAGGTTCTTCGTTCACTTGTTATGATTGGGCAGGGATTAAATATTATTCACGAATGCGATTTATTTTTTATTATTGTTTTAGTTAGTGCGCCTTCCTTGCCTATCCTTCTCATCTGCCCAGAAAGGGACTGATGGGTCCTAAAAGCAAATAGACCGACCATATGATTATGCATTGGAGCTAGTACTTGTACTGGCAAAATGAAAAAACCACGATTTAAAATAAGTTTTAGTCTGGCATGGCATAAAACTGGTCGCAGAATGATGACAAACCACAGGCGAACAGGTGTTTTTGACGAGAATAGGTATCCCTTCAACGGATCTGGTCTTCCTTATTGTAGCTCTTCGCGGATCTAAGTGACTTGTGCTCAGACCGCCTACTTTTGAACCATCTTTTCCACATTCCAGAGTTACAAAAAATCTTCTTTGCCGCTGCTTGATCTCGGACAAAGAATGGGTCAAAGCTGACGCCTAAACTAGTTGAACATCTTCACCCAGCCTCCGCCACCCTAGTTACAGGAGTCAATAGTAAAGAGCGAAGTTGCGGCCATCTTTTCACAGTCCGCCAAAGCTTATGGAATTCCCACACTGCTTACTGGTACACAGCAGCCCAGCCCCCCAATTCGCCAACAGGACACGTTCCACCGGGTTTATTTGTATGCACCTGCGGCGGGAAATAAATCCTCTGCAACCAGCGTTATGCAACACTGTGTTGGTCGTCAGCTTGTCGTCGAATACGTCGAGCAAACATGAAGATTGGTCTATAACGGAAACTGAAGTCAAGCAAGAATATATAAACAAACAAGACGCCAGTTGGCATGGCACAATAGACGCTAGTACAGCTAGTCTCCGGACAAAAAGATTTCCCCAAATTGTCTAAATTGCCTCAGATTTTCTTGCTCAAATGAAGTGTTTTTCCCCACCTCTTAGCTCGAGGGCCGGTAGGAGGCAAGAGGAGTTTGTGCTTTCCGATGATCGGAGGGTCAGTGGCTCATCAGTCACGAGGCGCTGAAAAGAATGGACGCCAAAGTAGCACAGCTTCCAAGGGAGGCATACTTCTAGTATCATCGTCTGCAACTTTGTGGTTAAATGATGACATCGGTTATCTCAAGATGCACAAATTGACCTTTCCCGCACTAAAATGACTGCACCACAGGATGACATTAAACTACACTTCGTCTTACCTGTTACAAGTTTTTTCATCAGGGCTTGACTGCAGGTTCGAACTCGCCACGATCCCATCGGAAACCCCTACGAGATCTAAAACCGGGTCGTGCCGATTAGGCAAGGCGTAGTGAACATCAAGTCTATCGTATGGTCGACATATTTCGTCTATCAGTCCTAGGCCATCTTACTTCACCTAAGTTGACTAAGCTACTTATATCCATGCCTAGTAGTTTCTAGAGTAATAATATATCTTAAATAAGAGCTGTATTCACCCAAGGTCACATAAGATGATGGGCTGATGTATGAACTTTTTATTAGTCATATGAGTGAGCCTCGTAAGGTTATTGAATTCCAATTATCTTTGCTTTCTAAAATGTATGCTCATCCAGGATGAACTGCAGTTTCGACCTCGCCTGGTTTTCCTCATTACCCCTAGCAGGAATCACACTGGCGCAGTATAAATCACATTAAAATACGTATTCATGAACTTGTGATCGCTCCAAAATCTGCCCACTATCTATTTTGTAACGTCGTCAATTTTCATGTCAAATGCAAGATTATTGCATTAGGAGGAGCCCTGATTGCCTTTACATTTGCATCTGGTCTATGACGTGCCAGATGATTAGTACGTGTCATATGTCAATCCTCAGCATGTCTGTGTATGCGTGTTTGTATGCGAGTGTGAAAGTATGTATATTTATGTGTACGTAACTGTATGAAGAATCAGGAATAGCCTACATTGATCAAAACAGATTGTAAACCATGTTCTTGGTCATCAAATTTGAAAGACCCAGCGATTGCGTAATTCCAGACACACATCTGGCTTATTTATGCGTATGTTTGTATGAACTAAGATGTATACAAAATGTTGATGTTATTGGCTGCCTGAATTTTGCTTGCATAAAAACCCTTTAGCTTCAGAGCCTACATTGTGGAATTAGGGGAAAGACGGTGAGCTTTCGTGGCTCATTAGTTTGAACTAGTTAATTTAGCAGAAAGAATAGCTTAGAAATACAAGTGATTCCTCATTTCAACCAGACAAGTATTGCAAGGAAATCTTATGATTTGAACTTGTCTTCGGGATGTTCGCACCAAAATAATATATTTGGTTTGAAGACAGATAAGGCCGTTTCGGTAGTTGTCATGGCTAGGTCAAGGTATAGTGAAAAAGGTGATGATCCATTTGAATAATATGGAAGCATGTGAATTTTTGTCGTGGGATTCCTCTGAGGGCCTTAATATCAGAATTAGGGAAGCACTTAATGTGTACATAAGCAATGGGTAACTGGAGTTTTGAGTTTACTCCTTCAAAGGGACTAGGACTAGGGTTGCTTCCGATTAAATTCCTCCAAATGTACCTTTAAGAATATGTGTTAATAAGAAAGTGAACGTGATGTAAAAGATGTCAAGATTCTTATGCAGACATTTGAAGAAAGTAGGTTAATATTTCACAGACTCATATGAATTTGTTAAATTGGGAAATCAGCAAATCACGACTGAGGATGAACTTTTAGCAAGGTTCGATGTGACACAAATATCTACCAACATTCAACTTCTGGAGGCTATTTCACGCTCTAGCACTCAGCCTAGAAGAACATACGAAGAATATTGATGAAGAAGAATTAAGCGAATGTTTCGTTCTAAAATTACTTTGCCTAAATATGAATAGCACATACTTCACATTTAATGAGGGAGGACACAAATCGACACAAGGACCTGCGCTAGGATAATTTTTGGCTTTTATTTTGGTAAACAATTATAGAATAGAGGAAAAGTTGGGTTTAGATGAATCTCATGTTTCACAATTGTTGAGATTACTTCCATTTTGAGTGAAAGTGTTGGGTGAAGAGATTTGAAGGTCGTTTCCACCAGAAGACGACGGCGGATTCCTCTTGACAAGCTGTCGATTGGCTTTACAGGAACATTCAGGCTGACGCTGTTTCCGAGGAAATCTCCTTCGATTCCGCTGAAAAGGTGTTAAGCTTTCTTCCGTCACATGACGAACATCATCAGAGCAAGATCAAGAGTTTTCTTGAATAGTTAGCTTGAATTTTGTTGTGACGATGATACCTTGCTCTGAGGATGTTTGTCATATGATGGACGAAAGCTTAGCATCTTTCCACCGGAATCGAAGGAGATTGCCTCGGAAACAGCGTCAGCATGAATATTCCAGTAAAGCCAATCGACAGC